GCTCCATTTTCTGCCTTTAAAAGCACACACAACCCACAATTCCTCTATTCGCTCCGACGAAGGGCTAACGCTCAAAACGTCAGCTTTTATAACCGTAACGGTGGCCAATTTACCATTTCAACTTTGTTGATATATTCAAATTATTCCTCAAAAAGATACAGTGAGTAATTCAGCTCTGAAAAGTTGTTTTTTGGTCGTCCCAGCTTCGACAGTTCACTACCTCTACAAATGACGCGGCTGCCAAAAAACTATGTTACGCAAATTAGATTGAGAAAGCTCTCATGCTTATAACCAACTGAAACTGAAGATAATTCTTCGTGCTCTAGTATAAAAATATAGCTGCGTAGAAATTCTTGGTACCTGCTTTCCCCAGCATTCACGCCTGCCACTGTCCCATGTTCACGCCGAGAGGAACACAGAACCTTTTCAATCTGGTATTCATAAGATGACAAAAAAATTTTGTAGATACTGACATGGGTTGCAGTCGGCATCACTACTATTAAGACATTCATTTTCTCCAGCTCCTTTTGAGCGAAAGTAAACGTAAATTAAACGAGCCATTTAAATGATATCCACAACTCCGACACAGAGATCAGCAAACCAATCTGAGCCATTTTAGTGTCAATCTAAGACGTAGGCGATAAAACATAGAACGTTAAGGAACCAACCAAAGCTAGACTTTAAGAAACCAACGGCCAATAGACGATACAGATTAAAGGTCTGGCGTTGAGGAGCAAATCCACCAACCAGGCCCCAGGGAATTAATCAGCCAAAAGATAGGGAACAGACCTACAGTAGCTTAGTTCATTGAAGTCGATCCTATGATTGTTTGTTTTCGTCTCAAGCTGTGGTTTCGCTGAAGTCCTGAGTTAATTTGCGAACAACTTATGTTGGTACGCTAACAATTCATGACAAGGACAACATGAACAGATTATTAATTCACCTAAGCTTTAATCGCTTCCAAATTAGGTTCGCAGGCCAACAACTCAAGTTTGGTGAGGAGTGAGTTCACCCATAACTCAGGTTGGTACAATAACAAGTTAGGTTGCTCACGGGTTGCTTATAGAGAGTAAGTGAATTCGTTGACAACCTAACACGGTTAGTTGGTTGGCAACTTAATTTGGTTTTCATGCAAGTTAGGTTAGTTCGTTATCATCCAAGGTTTGTTCGTTAACCCTGATGAGTTCCAAGCAATTCAGGTGTGTTCGCTAACAATTTCGGTGAGCAGAGTTTGTCAACAACTTGAGTGAGTTCGCTATTGGGAACTTAAGGAGGAAGAGATTTCAAAATCATGGGGGAAGGATGGCCCAGATCCTCAACAAACTCGCGCCGCCCAGCGTTCGTTTTCAAGCCTTCCCAGTTGAAAAGAAGCTCTGCCGTCCCTGTCGCTAACATTTCGGGTGAGGTTCCAGCGACCTAGGTGAGTGTCAAGTGCGTGCTTAGTATAGGCTATTAGATTTTAAAATTGAACCTAAGATAACAGTGAACAAAACAACAATTGCAAAACTGCATGAATGGACAAAATAACAAAATAATTTCATTTCACTACACACCAATTGAAACATGATGATCTTCCATTTCTGGATGACATATTTTCTTCTATTAACACATCTGACAAGAGTTTGAGGACCTTCTATATTTTGCAGTTTTTTTAGAGAGACCTGACATCCCCATATAGCATTATTGGCTCTCATTTTGAATGTGAAAAATCCTGGGACCACAGTTTTTTTGAATGAATGTGCTCTGCGGACTGTAAAGTTATTCACTCTATACAAGTTCCTTATCAGAGTTTTGGTTTGCGATAGAGCATCAAGCAATGTGGCTTTACTTAAAGTGCGCATGCTTTCTGGATATCCAGATAAAAGGCTCCCATAGTCAGAGAATCGAAATGGCATAAATAAGTAGTTTCCAAGAACGGTTTTTAGAAATCCATTTGATCCCACTGATGACAATGTTGTTTATATGATCCTATGTCCATCACACCAGGTTTGTCAAAATTACTATAACGTTTACTATTTAGGTATATTCTGCAATTTATATGTGGGAAAATGATATTTAGAGAACCTAAAAAAGTTAAATCGGCCAATAATCAGTCTAAAGCTGTAAATACAAAATATGGAAACGTCCCCATTTAAAGTGCACCTAACCCCTAAATTTTTTTTTCGTTTAAAAAAATCTTCATGCTTTGGTCAAATCCTTAATTTTTGTGCCCCGTTGAAGTACAGAAAATAGCATTAAAATCACCGCCGTTTTGACTCACGACCGCGTTTCAAGGAGCAAGAGTCTGGCGACTAATGTGACGTCACTTCGAGAAGCCAACAATCTCTATTTCGCACCATTTTGCACAGTTTACTGGTTATGTTTGGAACGTTAGATCGATATTGGTTGCAAATATGCCGCAGAATGAATCTAGTGCTAGAAAGGCTTTCGCAGGTCGACGGTCGCAGGTCGACGACTGGCTGAGAATTCCTTGAGCGTCTTCTCGAAGTGACGTCTCAAGTCTACTCTGCCCAGATCCCCATTTACGCGGTCGTGGTCCATTCGGATCTCTACTTCAACAGGGCATAAAAAAATGAGGATCTAACCAAATCCAACAATATTTTGGCAGAAATACTCGCCAAAGCAGGAAGATTTTTTTAAGTGAAAAAAAATTTAGGGCTCAGGTGCACTTTAGCCCTCAGTAAAGATGAATGCAGAATAGATATATAGATGCAGAATATATAGATGCAGAACCAGAGAAGGCAACAGTTGAATACTTGGAAGTATGCAATCTGATCTTTGAGAAAGGAATTCTCAGCAAAAAACTGATAAGAGCATTGAATTCCTCAGTGATCCAGAACTTTAGGGATGGTTTCACATTTTTTGCTGAATGGTTTGAGAAACATCAAGTTCAAGGTATGAATGAATGAATGAAGTTAACGTACAGCAATTGCATTGAAACTACTTAACTACTTGACAAGATCAACTCAGGCTGCAGTAATAATAAAAAAAAATTATTAAGATATTAATTTTATCCTGAAACCTTTTTTTTTTATTATTATTATTAAACAGTATACAAAGACAACAAACCCAAGTCAAAGCAAAAGCACTTTTTTGCATGGCAGTTAATATTATATAAAATCATACATTAGTATGTACATAATGTACATTAGTACATTATGTTAGTATTTGGGAGACATACACGGAAGAGGAGAACAAGACACTAATGCACTAATGGTTGGCTTGTACAGAAATACAGGTTGAGATATGAAATTATTAAATGGGTGTCACTGACTTTGATTTTGTGATAATCAATGCCAAATATGTACCATTTTATAGCGAAAGATGCATACCGAAGAATGTATCATAATCGTGTCAAATAAAATAAAACCACTACTTAGAACCAGTACACGTTTTTCTTTATCTTTTTTCCTTCGCGAATAGCCAGTGTCCTTCGCTAGTCCAGTTTTCTTGCGCGAAGCTGTACTCAGTCTCTTCGTGATGTTTTATTGTGATTTTTTTTCTACGCCGTATTCTTCGCTATCTTCCACGCTAAGCCCTACGCTGTCTTCTGCGCTACTACTAGTCCTATTACTAGTATCTTCTTCAATACTACCAGCCTGCAGTTCAGTGTCCGTTTCTTCACAACAGCTGTCGTCTTCGCTGCTTGTCTCCGACGGAGAGGAAAAAGAACTCCGAACTTGAAGAAGAGAAGTCCATCCGTTTTTCTTTTCCCTATTCGTTCTTGTTTTTTGTCTGTTTTCGACCGCAAAAGTATTTTCGTCCACAAAGATAATTCCGACCGCATCGTCCGCCATTTTTGTTTGGTTCAACCTTCTCTTGCGCATTGAAATTACAACCACGTGATGAGATGGACATCAGCCATTGGTCAGTTAAAATAGTTTCCGGATCTAAAATTAGATTCTGTCCCCATGTCATAGAAAGAGCTCCCAGTATGGAAGATGCGTTCTCTTACCCTTATGTTCTCTTGACCTAGCATATTCCTCTACAGCACTACCGTTACACAGTGGATCAAGGCGACCGGACCGAATTCCAAGGCGTGGGTAAGGGGGTTTTAAAAATATACTGAATATAAAAGTGCGAGTCATTATTATCAATTTTCACCTCTTCTTCAAATAGAATGAAGAACATATACAATATACATTCCTTTGTTAAAAACCAGCAATGGTAATTCTAAACGGATTCTGGTAGAGGCCTTCATATACAAGTATATTCTGTAGTTGAACACTACTCGCTCACAAGTGACAGATTGAAGCTATAATATTACAATTTTTAACTACGGGCTGTACTTAGAGGAAGTGAGGGCTTTTCAGAAAAGAACTTTCGCGCAAAAAAAACTAAAGCTTTGCACAGCCTTAGATTAGTTTACTCTTAAAGGGACTAGTAAAAGCAGGTAGGACCTACAAATATCATAGTTAATTACTATTACGTATGATGCACGACCCTCGCAGTAGAGAGCGCTATTTATGCAATAGCGAAAATCAGACCTGTAAAAAATCAGGCCTGTACAGGATTCGAACCACTGACCTCTGCGATACTAGAGTAGCGCTCTACCAATTGAGCTAACAAGCCAACTGGGAGCAGGCTGTTAAGTTGATTCGTAATAAACCCGTGATGATAAATCAGATACAATGAATATATGAAGTTCATATATTTTGAACTGCGGTATTAGATACGTATGATGCACGGGGTAATTCAACTACTTTTGTTTTCACCGTATAGACCCTTTCACGCCTCTATTTTACTTACAAGGGCTAAAAAAAAATTGGACTCAAATAGTATGGCTCTTATAACGGCTGTCCATTGTAATGTTCACTTTCGCCCAAGCGATCCTTGACTACCTCCGGATACATGACGGGTGGCGTGAGCGGTCACTCAGTACTTTTACTCTAAGCATTCGTTGCATTGACTTGATAACTAGACCCCTAAATACAATATTATTTGCTAACTGGTTATGACATCCATCATAGACTAGTAAAAGCAGGTAGGACCTACAAATATCATAGTTAATGACTATTATTCGCTAACGTTGCAAAAAAGCTTATATTAAGTAGAAAATACGTTTGAAGTGGTTGCCTGACGACCAGATTTTACAAGGGTGGGGATCAAATTTTCTTGAATAGCTCAGACAACTCTTGATAACATTGGGCTGAATCTGGCCGTTTGTTTGGGTTTTTATCCCAGAAACGCCTCATTACGTTCTGCAAAGCAGCTGGTGACGTATTTGAGCCTTGGGCATGCAAAGGTCTGGTACCCCCTATCACTACGTCAAAAAGCTCATGTTCATCTCTTGCCACATCAAGAAGGGATCTCTTACCATACCACATCTCCCAGAGCATTATACCGAATCCCACAGCATTATACCGAAGCTGTATATATCCGCTTTGTAATCGTACATACTTAAGTTGATCACTTCTGGAGCCAGATACATAGGAGTTCCCACTCTGGTACCTGTGATCGCTCTAGCTTCTTTGGAAACACCGACATCGCCAACTTTGACAACATTTTCTCGCGACAGCTATAGAAGGAAAAGGTAATGAGAAAACGAATAACAACTTCTTTACCCTTCATGGAAACTCAGTGTTAGAGCTTCAAAGAGGGCTTATATAGCAAAGTGAGGAAAAAAACAACAACAACAAGAAGGAAAGCTGGGTGAAGGCGAGTAAAATAGGCTAGATTTAATAATAAAGAGTTACAGAAGCCAGTGGTTCTAATTTTTAACTTACTAATATGTTTGCCAACTTGAGATCTCGGTGAACGATACCTTGTCTGTGAATGTATTTCAGAGCATCGGCAATGTCTTTTGCCCATCCAATCACATTTCTGGCAGCAGTAGGTGTTGATGACTGACCGGGTACCTTGCCTTTATGCCGGAAAATGTGGCTCCTCAAGTTTTCCGTGCAGAGCCCCATCACAAGTATTGTTCGTAGCAGATCCCCTTCCTTATGTAGAGCAGCACCATACAACTTTACAATAAAGGGATGGTTCAGCTTCCTACACAATGATAACGCATGGGTTAAGCGTTTACACTAATATGCATATGCTCTGTACTGTTCTCCATAGATATTCCGCTATCTTGATAGGAAAATTTTGATAACATTCAAGAGCTTCTTCTAGTGGCAGTTACATCCTTTATTTTCGTGAGTTTAACATCTGAGTCAGCAGTAATGATTTATGGGAAAACTAGAAGCTACTAATTATGGGGACAAAGGGCCAATCGCCATTAATGACCTTTCGGAAAAATGAATGGTGTTAAGTTTAACTGTAAAAGTCATTCTTAATTACTATCTGGATGTGCCTTTAAATATGCGTAGATATTGGCGGTTGTGAAATATGTGCATGCTTAAGCATCCGCAATTTTGATCTGTTCTCTGCTTATTTCAAACCACGAGATCACGTAGTTAAAAAATGGTCTCGGAAGATAATCTAGAACGCGGTTTTGCAAGCAGCAACTGAAATTTGTTTCAAGTCTTTGACTCCCGAGATCTGACTATTGACTCTCTCTTCCAGCTGCTGCACATCTCCTTATAAATTAGTTACAAGAATTTGGTGTAAGATCAAG